GGAAAGAGAGGGAAGTGGAGAATTCAGCAAGATGTAAAAGTGCACTCAGAAGTGCAGCGCCATTTGGCCATCTGTGACTCTCAAATACTCAGTTCTGCAGACATATCTAAGACTTGTGTTATCAGAATCATCAAGGGAAAGCAAACCCTATAAAGTATTTCTGAAAAGTAATGTTATAACCTAGCTGCTGCTGCTTTCTGCCCTCCTTCATGTACTCATTCATGTCATGATCCACACTTGCCGTGCTAGAGATCAAGATCTTTGAAGGAAGAACTTACCTTTTACAGGTTTTCCCCAAAATGTCTGACAGAGTTCTGACTGATATAAGATAGATCTCAAAAAACTGGACACCAAGCTTGAATATGCACGCTAATATATCTTGTAACACACTACAGACAAATTTCACAACTTTCTTGCATAAGTAGTCAACAGAATATGTAAAAGTATTAGTCTTCTTTGTTATATTATGTTTCACATAATCTCACGTCAGTAAGTCAGTTTGCATCCTGTAAATGAAGCTCCCTTAGAGCCATTCCTGAATACCAGCTTTTCAAAGTCTCCCCCACTGTCTTAGTCTCTTTATGTTCATTTTTGTTTCCCCAAATGATGCAGACTGCTATTGTTCTCTCTGCAGCCACAGTACCTGTTAATCATGCCTGATGTAGCCTGGCATTTATCTGGGTGATTCATCACCATGGAGGAGATCTTTAACATTGAACAAATTACTGCGTACAGCGCAGAGAGGAAGGAAATCATGTTCTTTCCACAGGAATTTTACTTTTGCAAGTAATTCCAAAGGTGTTTAAAGAAACATAGAAGCATGTAGCTGCTGCAGAATATCCTTAGCATTTTTAAAGACTCATTACATTGAAAATTTGGAAGATAATCAAATCATTTTAGCCTACTGCATTTAACATTTTTTTTCATTAAAATATTTTGTTATATGTGTGGAGAATATTAAAATGTTTAATATGTTCTGTTTAGTTTCTATGCATAGTTAACCATATTACCATGCAAAATCACTGCATACAGTTAAAATTATGATTATTCAGGTATGACTGCTAGCTTATTTTTTTCTCTACCTCCATGTTGGCTCTCACTAGAATATCCAGTACAAATCTTTGTATGTGTGTACCTTTGAGGTGAAGGAAGTGTGTTTTGTGTCTATTCATTATCCATGAGGATGATGTCAGGTCAAATTAATCTCTTTTTAAATGAGGGATATTAGCAAACCTTAACTCAAAGATGGCTAATCCTTCAGTATAAAAGCAAATGACTGTCAACTCAAAAATATGTAAAAGATCTAAATATCTAAAAAGTATCTAGAAGCTGGATTTGTTTGCTAAGTACAGTAAAATGTTTACATTCTGAATCACTTTGAAAAGGCTTTCAAGTTCAATTTTTGGTACAAAGCATGGATCCCCAGACCCTTTCTTCTCACTCAGTCTGCCAGGAAGCTGTGTGGGAAGCCTTTCGTATTTTTCTGGATCGGATTCCTGATACTTCTGAATATCAGAACTGGGTTACTGCCTGCCAAAGGGAAACCTTCTGCATATTCGACATTGGCAAAAACTTCAGCAATTCCCAAGAGCACCTGGAAATAATTCAACAGGTAAAGATTACTGACATTTGGTCAGAAACTGGGGGGGGCTTCCAAGTCCCTCCCCATTGGCTTGTATAAAGGCAAAGTATTGCTAAGGAAAAGGAGGGGGCATATGTTAGAAGGAAAACATAAAATACAGTAAACAAAAGATCTAACAGGCTTCTGGTCAATGGTTGGATACACCCACTAGTAAAATGCTGTTTTTCTTAATCTTTTTGCAGCGAGTAAAACACAGAACCTTCCAGGAAAGGTAAGTAGCACAACTGGAACGTTGCCACTTGGTATTACAGCTTTTTTTTAATAAAAAAGATACATGTAGATGTGCATGGATGTGAACAGATACACAGATAGCACTGTGGTGTATTTAGTATGTGGTTAGAGATATGTGTAAACTGTATGTCATAGTAAACAGCAGCTGAATCACAAATAATGAAGGTGGCCAGATGTCTGAGTTGCCTGTTCCCTTTGAGACACTCCAGAATGTCTTAGACTAATGCAAGCTCAAAACCTTGACAGAGCCATGGCTTTGCATTAGAGTAGTGACAAATTATTACCCCTAATTGCTATAATTCTCAGAAGGAAAGTCAGAGAGCTTAACAAAAGTTTATCTTGGAGGCTTCATTAAGCAATAATATGAAAACTCTATGCCTTTAGCTTTCTCATGTATTTCTACGAGCCATGACAGTGTTAAATACTGTGCTGCTTTATTCTGTAAACTCTTGGGAAAAAAGTGTGCTCCTGGCAATGCTCAGAAGTCTGAAAACAGCAGGATTAAAGTTACAGTACTGAACTCTGCATATAAACACTGTATTACAGCCAGGCAAATAATTGTCCACAGTTTCTCTGATTTATGTGGTGTTTTTTTCTTTCAAATATTCTTAGATTTTCAGATGTAGCAAATAATATTTTCCATATATATGTTATACTGTCGCATGATCACAGAGGTCTTATTCAGTATGACATGGGAGCTTTGAGTGTTCATCTTTCTCAAAATTGTATTTTTAATAATGTAGAGCCTAATTAAACTCCCCTGGAAGTCCAGAGGGAGATCTTCTCACTCAGCCTAGTGCAAACAGCAGCAGCAAAGCAATAAGTTAAGTGGCTGATCTCAGACTTCTTATGCTTTGTATGAACAGCACAGTTTTCCCTTGAAACAGTTCAGAAGTCAAAGTAAATTCTATGAAATTACTAGTATTTTAGGTAGAAATACAAGCAGTCATTGTTATGCACTGTTGGACTTCTTCAGCACTGGGTGGCTTGAGAAACATCTTCTGTAGATGCCATGCAGAGAGATCAGTCACCAGTCAAAGCCACAACAAATTTGTGAAATAAATTTGTGAAAATTACAATCATTATTATTACAAATAATACTTTAGTTCTCACCACATGAGGTATTCAGAGGATGTGGTAAATCAGGTTTTGTTTGTGTTCTTTGTCTATGTTATTAAACATCTAGGTTGGTCCTGTGTAGAAATGCAGCCCAGCCACCTTTTCTTTCTATGCTACCAGTTTCATGTTGTCTCAGTTAACACCACACTATGTATTTACAGTGTCCGTAGTTCTTTCACTCATATCAGTTTTCACAAACCCTCCACCTCTGTGCACTTCCCTAATAATAGCTATTTCTATAGAAATTTTGAGGAATTCTCTCCTCATTAATTTCTGTGATTGAACTTTGTATTTTATGCTGTGTTTTTTTCTACACTCTACTTAGAACGTGAAACAACAGAAATTCTTCACCCCGTAATTTCAGGAAAGAAAAATCTCAAAATGTTACTTAGAAGATTCTTATAAAGGAATCTAAATGTTTCCAAAAGCTATAAAAGAATAAAAATTGGGATTTAGAGCAAAAATTATTCTATAAGCTTAACTACAGGAATCTTTAACACATCTATTATAGAATGTACTTAAATATACATAACCACTTCTATTTTTCAGGCTAGCTAACAGTCTCAGTTCCAAAATTTATTCACCAGAAAATGACTGTAAAGTTTATAACAGAAAATAATAACAATACGAAAATAAATGCAGACATTCCATACATCACACCCACCATATTCTTACTTGAGTTTTCAGCTGTCTGCCATGAGGACCATGGTAGGCATTAACCCAGGAATATTTAGATCAAAACAAACATTCTTACAATTAATAATAATCTCAATCCAGATTATCCTTATGATATTATAATGCAGGCTGATGACTGAAAAATAAGTTCACCTGTCCTCTTCTCACACCAAACCCGTGAAACACCCTAGGAACAATTTAGGCTCTAAATGTACAAGCAGCCCAAAGCCCTTACTGATTTGCCTTGATAGGGTGAGATATAGCAAAGGAGGCAATAGCTGGTTTAGATAATGCATAAGAAGTCTTGCTTCCATTTTAGCAAGTGGTCAACCATTCATAGACTTCAAGGACAGAAAAAGCAGACCCTGTGCACTGATTTAATCTCTGTGACCCCATCCCTCTGACTGCTTGGAGAAAATCAGTCATGAAACCTCATGAACAGACTCCTGACAGGATTAGTAATCCTTGGTGGAGGAATATATCAAATCAGTAATTCTTTTCATTGTAAGTGCAAATTCTGTATTGAAGGAGAAGAAAGAAAATACATGAACTGTTGAATATAAAATATTATCTACTGCTCATTGCCTGTTTAACCAGGTTGTTAAATATTCTATGAGAAATAACTTCTCTCATTTAAAGTACACTTAACATAGAGGGCACTTCTACATTTTTTACACCCTTGCCATTGCCAGTATTGCATGCTGAATGTTAAATCTCTCATTTCTACTTGATTGATAGGAAAGATGAAATATCCGCAGAGAAAACAGGTGGCAAAAAGCTAGAAGACATTCCTTCCATTTCTACAGGTAAAACAAAATCTGCTTCCTGTGTGTCTGCCCATTAAATAGAATTGTTAAAACCAGTAATTTATAGATCTTAGAAGGCTGTAATTTAGTGCATGGAGTAGAAGCATGACAAGTTCAGTGAAGTCCAGTATTTTGCTAAAGCAAAATAATGTATAAGAAGCATTTTTAAATTTCTTTACAACATGTCTGTTACTCAAGTGTGGCATTCTAGGTTCATTTCACAGTCTTTCAATGCATATGTTTTCCTAGTTCCACCCATATAGAGCTAATTTTGCTTCAGTTATGAAATAATATTTATAGTGTTGTCTAACTGTCATTTGTTAGGCAAAATAAGCAAGCAGATGAAAATAAAAAAATTACTTTAGCCAGAAGGTTGCATTAATGCCAGGACATTCATTTCAGCAGATTATTATTCCCATGAGACCTAACAACAGTGCTGTGCACTACAGTTATTTAAAATATTAGAAATTTATGCTGTAATTTTTATTCATTAATAAAAACCTGTAAATATGAGCGGTTTTGTTCTAGGCAAAAAAATCCTGCATCCATACCTTTATGAGGTTTAGATATGACAGAATCTTATTGAAAGTGACTTCCAGCAAAGTAATTTTGCTTCTAGCTGGAAAACTCTTTCAAAGTCTCTTGTTATTTTACATTTAGCCCCAAAGAAAGGTGGCTATTGTAGAGACAAAGTCCTCAACTGGCAAAAGCAAGCGGAGATATTTGGTGATACATAACGCAGTATGACAGGAAATAATCAAATATTATTTAATTCACACCATTTCACTGCTGCAGAGTCAGTGCCACTTTTGCCTTCAGTCACACACACACACACAACACTGTTGATGTTTTGACCTGGAAAGAAATACTGTCCAGGGCATAAAAAGTAGCAGCTTTACCCACACCACCAGTCATGACCACTTTTCACTGACATAGGCTTGGCTCAAACATACGCTCCACAAGGAAAGCTTTTACAGCAAGACTGACCAGCAGAGAAAGAGGAAGATTTTTGATGTGCAAACCTGTTCTTGTCTGATTTTGCTTTAAAACCCCTCAGACTCCCTTGGGACACCCATCTCTCCAGATGCACCTAATGGCACACTGCTCAATGAAATTGTTGACACGAAGACACCTCCTGTGAAGGTGAGGGAAGCCTGTTTTCCTATCTCACTTTTTCACTCACCTGTTCTTTTTGAGCTCAGCTAGCAGAAAAGGTCTGGAAGCATTATAAACACTTAGTGCTTGTAAACTATTTTTCCTCTCTGTTACTAGGACTGAAGGATTTTATTATTATCTGTTCTGTACTGGAATAGTTCTTGATGTTTGTCACTGGGAACCAGCTTTCAGGCAGAGTCTTCATTCTTTAATGAGATGCCCATTGCCTGCTTTGTCCCATTTTGTAACCTTGTTCTTCATTAAGTAGTGTACAAGTGCATGCCTTCTGAGCTTTCCACGACACAGGGGACAGGACTGGATGTTCTTGCCCTTTCTCTGCCAGCCTTCCAGCTGCCAGAGGAGCTCCGCGACATCTCCGCAGGGCAGCCATGGCGCTGTGGGCTGCCCCCTCCTCCTCAGGTTTACAGCAGCTGCCACAGGATACTTCTGAGACAGGGAGTGAGGGGAGAGGCTGTTATTTTCCCTGTCTTGGCCACCCGGGGGTGGCAGGGAGGTGACCTTGGCCTCAGCACAGCTGAATGGCTTCAGGGAACCTTCCGGAACCTCCCTATGGAGAGAGACTGAGGCCTCAGCAGGGTGGGCACCACTGCTGAGGAGCCCCAGGTGGGAGCCAGACCCTTCCATTTCTCCTCTGATTTGCTCTGAGATCATCTTTGCTTTCTCAAAAAAACTTTGCCCTTCTAAGGCAGTGAAAGAGCTGATAGATTATGAGGATGAAAGAGTTTTTAAATGCTTATTTGTGGTGTTTTAGATGTACTGGGAGATTGCCATTAACCAGGTCCTACATGTTATAGGTCTTCTCCTTCTTTCTCAACCCAGTCCTTTGTGACCAGGTCTCTAAAGGCTGGCTCCTTATAAGTCATAGGGCAGCTATATAGAAAGTGCATATTGCTTAATCTTCTGCTTATATGATAGAACATTAGAGAACACTCCGTTTCTGACTGATGAGCCATATTTTTTTATACAACACAACACATACAATTCTCTAAAACTGAGGCATCCTAAGGAATGACTTAGCAGAGATGAATTACACAAAATCAATGGCTGCAGAAAGTGTTCTCTCCTGTTTTATTAATTCTTTATTATATTAACATTTTATTTTCTCTCTTACCCACAACACACCATAACTGCATATATTTATTGTTCTGCTTATTCTTGTAAACTGTCAAAACCTAGGTGTTATGTATGGGACAGATGTCTCTAGCAACTTCATGCCAGCCCACCTGGCAGCAGAAGTGGGAGCTTCACCTCTCTGCTGTTCTTTTGGGCCAGTTTATTATTGTTCATTGTCTTGCTGTTGTGCTTTCCTTGTTTATTCAAGGAATAAAAAGCTGGTTGAGAGTAAAATTGTTCTTGAGCAAATAAAAATATTAAAAAGTGTTTAAATAATACATCAAAGGATAAAAATAATAAGAGTAGGCCAGAACTGCAAATAGTGTCAGGAAACAGCAAACAAAATAAGAGACAGTAAAGTCAACTACACAGGAAAGTTGTAACCCAGGTAGGGTTAATTCTACTTTATCATCAGGAAAAAAAAATGCAAACATCTGAACATGAAACAGTAACTGAGAGTTTGGCAGTGTGCTCTGGTTGGCCATGGGTTTTCTGAGGGTAGGATACCAAAAAGCTTGTAATATGTACTTTTTGGTCTTGTTGATGTCACACACTTTCCTCCAAAGTGGCAAGTAAAGCAGTATGACTTCAACGATGATGGAAATAAGACTTGGTAACACTCTCTGTGCAAGAAGTCACTTGATTCTGTTCCTCACCTTCATGCATATCAAAGGCAACTCTCAAGTCACAGTAACAGAAACTTGTTTGCAAAGGCAGAAGAATTAAGGCAACAGTTGTGGCTAGGAACCCTTGCATTTTTTAGAATATGGTTCATATGTGCCCATATGTTGGGCACAGGCTTAAGAGGGAACCCTTCTACCTGTTAAATACTGAAATCTCGGGGGAAAAAATCACTTTGTTTAATTTCTCCCCCTTTTTTCTTCTCCTCTTCTTTTCCAGGACCTGGAAACAAATACAGTCCCAGAACTGCCTGTGGAGCAAATGGTAGAATTCAGTGTCACTCTCACTGATCAGGAGTACACAGCTGAGCTTAATGACCCCAACTCCCCACAGTACCAACAATTAGCTGCCAAATTTCAGCTACAGGTAAGGAGGCTGAGTGAATGCCAAAATGTTGGCTTTTTGTCTTGGCTGAGATTCATACTATGAAATAGATTCATAACATGAAACTACCTTCACCATGAAAGAGAACTAGAACCTTCTGCCTTCATGTGAAATAGGTAATTCCTGTTGTCTCAAGACCTTCAGTTTTCCTTCAGGTAGAGTCAGTTTATCCTTTTGTTTAAGCCAGCTGTTCCGCCACCAAGCTAACATCTTTGTCAGCAGTAGAGCCTTAGATAACTGAAGAAAAGATTAAAAGTATAATTTGAGCTTCATCAGGAATCCATGAACAGAGCGTTGTCATAATTTAATTTCTACAATTAACCTAATGTGAAAGGTACTATAAATGTTAAAAGTAATGAGCGGCTGTTGTCTGAGCTATTCTTCAGAGAACGTCTAGTAATCTTGTTGTGCATTACCATAGTTTCAGTAAGAACTGGAACATCTGTGGTGTTTTCAGATAATTAATGATATTAGCTGAATGTTCAACTATCGGTTTAGTAGATAGCAGTTGATGACTTGACATTCCCAAAAGGTTCTCTTAGTAAAATTAACTAAAGCTTCTCATCACTTTCACAAGCATTCCTTAGTGCAAGCTATTTCACTACTCTGTTTCAGCTTCAGATACTTGTAGAAAAATGGTGAAAAATGTGCTGGCAGAGCTGATAATAATTGGCTTTTCTGGATTTCCAATATTATCTGCAAACAAAGCTGCCTGCATGTTTTGCTTATTATACATATAGTGGTATAATTCAGCAATCTGTTTTTTTAAGTTATTTAATTTATTTCATTAATAGGAGAGTGAAAATTGCACTTTCTTGATTGTTGAATTATTTTCTATTGTCAGAAAATTTTATCTGCCACTTTAAAGAGTCCAAAGCTGTTCACGACAGGCAATGTTGAATAGAAAATAATCGTAGTCCGGTACCATGAAATACCCATGAAGTGCTTTCTTCCAAAAATAGGTCATGGGTCATGGAGGAGGCAGAGGCCAATCTTGATACAAGTCACTTTTACAAGTGCACTTAAAGGGTGAGAAAGAGATTAGATTAAAAATTTAAATCTTATCCAGCTACACAAGCTCCTGTACAAAGAGAAGTCCTTGCAAAGGCTGGGACTGTGGAATTCCAAGCTCAGTTCCTAATTCATTCCAGGATCTGGGAATAGGGAAGTTACAGCAGAGTTTATAGTGCAAATGTTCAGAAGTACATTTGTATAGCACAACTGACATTTAAAATCAAATGAAAACCAGAATTCAGATTCAGATGCCCACACTACTTAGTGAACTGAGATTTATTTGGAGAAAGTAGGAAACTGGGAGCTACATTTGTGCACACTGTTAAAAGAAAGCATCAACTTCATTATGATGGAAGAGAGTGAAAACTCAGCTGGCAGAATATGAAAAAAAGGGGATTAATTTACCTAAACACAGACATCTGGTGCCATATTAGGTGCCCATGTTATCCAATACATCTGCGAGTGCCTCTCAAATATGAGAAAGCTGCACTTTTTTGATCCAGCAATGGAGCAGAAGGTGACCTTAAGGCATATAAAATGGCACTGCTTGCCTATGCTTACGAAAATGAATTGCAATCTAGTGATTTAGGCCCTTAAGTCTGTTACTTTCAGCGAGCATTAGTCTCATGAATACCATTTTAAATCTTCCCATAGTCTACTTATTACTTCTGCACCACTTTTACTCTGTGAGACAAAGCTCAAAATGAAATATTTGCTTCAATTCCTTTTGTACTGTCCTCTTGTTGGAGATGAGCAAGGGGAGTGTAGGTGATCAGCCATTTTCTGCACTTACCCTTCAGCTGCTCTGCTGCTTACAGCCACAGAAAAACATACTCTTAGACTGATACAATGTGGCTGATACTGGTATTATGATAACATAGTGAACTTCGGCAATTTTTCTTCACTTAACCCGCCCTAGAGATGCAGAGAAAGCTGCGAGTCTAACCATCCATTCCCTACCAGTTCTGACAAACTCTCACACATGAACAGAGGACTTCTAAATGTGTGCTGGGTTAGTTCAGAATCATATAGCTAAGGAAAAGATTTCTGCATTACTGTATATACTTTTAAAATTATCTGCTGAATTAAAAGGGCCTGATTCCTCAAAAGGCTTTTTTAGTTCTTTTCAAGTGCTGAATTCACTCAACACCATGGGCTTTGCTTGCAGATGAAAGGCTTAGACAATGTGTTTCCTGGTATGTAGCAGCACCAGGAAGTCAATCAGAAAGGAACTATGGAACTTGATGTTTAAAAAAAGCCTTTTATTCTTAGATGTACATAGAATATTTCATTTGACTTAGCTGCATAAATATTGCCACAATTGGAAAAGACCACAAGATCAATTAGTTGAATCTCAAAACATTGTTAATTGCTGAGGTGCCGACAAAACCACTTAATCTAAAGTCTGAAAAATGTATACAGTATTCACCTTTTCTGCTTATTTTTTATTCTTCATACTATCTCTTCTATTCAAAAACATGTAACTGTACAATTGTAGTATTATAATTAAAATATATATTAAGTTATTTTATTTATATAAGACAGTTAATACTGTTCAATTTAGAAATTATTTGTCAAATAATCCAAATCCATCCACATTTGGTCAATATTTCTCAATAATTAACAATTTACAGTTAAGCTTTCTTGAATCACAAAATTATTCATGAACCAAAAATGCTGAAAATGAGAAAAACATTTGATTCATACTGTTTGACTTGCTCTATTATGAACTAGATTATCACTGATTTACATTATTACGTTACATACAGCTGTATTTTGTGCTTCATTTTGCCTATTTATAGGGCCTACAGGCAGCACATACAAATGAAATACTGTGTTTAACTTGAGCAATGATACCACAAAGAGAGCAGATGAGGCTGTTTCCTAAAGCTCTTTCTAAAATAGGAAAAATATTTCCTACATACTGAACCCGTGCTTGCTTGTTAGTATAGAACACTGAATTAATGATTTCATGTTTTTCTACAGATGCAAAAAATATTTGAGAAACTTCCAGGATTCAAAGAAATCCACGTATTAGGATTTAAGTAAGTAAGAAAATGGGACTCATTTTTCTAATGGCTGCTAGTATTCTTCTCTTCCTTCTTTCCCTCCAAACCTCCCTCCTCAACTTTCCCTCCTGTGACCAATGACAGGACTCGGGGAAATGACAGGAAGCTGAATCAGGGGAGGTTTAGGTTAGATATTAGGAAAAGGTTTTTCACCCAGAAGGTAACTCAGCACTGGAACAAGCTCCGCAGAGAACTGGTCACAGCACGAAGCCTGCCTGAGTTCAAGAAGCATTTGGGTTATGCTCTCAGGCACATGGTGTGATTCTTGGGATGCCCTAACAGGGACAGGAATTGGACTCGATCCTGATGGGTCATCATCTTCCAACTCAGCATATTCTATGCATATATGATTCTATGAAAAGATCTATAATAGTGGGGTGTGTAGTGCTATAAACAGAAAATACTTTTCTGGGAACAAAACAGAGACAGTATGGAGAAAAGCACGAACACGTCCCACGTGAGACTACGACACTTTAAATTCCTAAGTAGAAGTATCTTTGATTCTCTGAGGGGTGAAGTAGTCTAGATATCCTTGGAAATTATTTGCTAGAAACATTTTATTAAGGATTTTCTTAAATGGCAGTATCAAGAGAGTTAGGAATATGATTATTTATGTGGCTACTTCTTTGTGCGTGGACCCTGTGCCCATAGATAACAGCAAAGGTGCCTTGACATGAGAAGGTTGCAGGAGGATACATGTTCACACGTGTAAAACAAATTTTTCTCAATTAAGAAAGTTTCTTTTTTTAACAAAATCTGGGTTGACTTTTTTTTTCAGCTTTGGCTTCCTTGTATGTTTACTCATAATACAAGCTACTGTGTATTTTTGCAATGAGAATCTACAGGAGAAAGAGGATCAAAAAAACTGAGTATCTGATATGGTTATGCTTCTATAGATAAGAACACATTATGTAAAAAGTCAAGGGAAAACCAAATTACTAATAGTAAGCAATAACATAAAATTGAAAGGGGAAAAAAGAGCAAGAAAAATACATAAATTCATGTGGGCTTATGGCACAGCATCAGGAACATTCAGTACTTATAGTAATATTTAATACATTGAAGAACTTTCATATTGCAATGCAATTTTAGACAAGAACATACTTCTTCCTAGCATTTCTCACTGCAAAATTGCTGGGGAAAAGGAAAGAAAAGAAGAAAACAGAGTGAAAATTAGTTGCTTACATTTTGTTAGTGAAAGTAAAAAAAAATAAAAATAAAAAGCTGGCTACCACAGAACAAGCAGAGATTGTCTGTAGTAGCACCTCAGAGTTACAATTTGCAATAACTAACCTCTTTTTGTGACTGCAAGAGATGTGGGTTCCATTTCAGCTTAGTATCTTGGTCTTAGGAGATGATACGAAAGTACATTCATCACTGTGGTAGACCAAGATTGCTTCCCATCATCTAGTAATTTACTAAGCTCTTGAGGATTACAGATCAGCAAAGACAGGTGTTGCTGTCCTTTCTCTCTTATCCTTATTGCTACATATATAAGCAGTATTTCCTACCATGCAATTTGGAAGGACAACATTAGAGATATGCTAGAGAAATAGATATGTTAGAGAAATCAGTGAAAATAATAGGGCGTTTTTTTAAAGGCGGCACCGTGTGTGGTAACAGTAATAGTTGCTACTACTGTCACAGTCTTTCATTGCCACCATAGAAATACAGATTAGTAATGACAGTCTTCAAAGTGCTTCAGTCTTCACTACCATCTGTAGTGGGAAATAAGAAAGCAGATATTTCAGACTATTAAGATAAGGTAAAATTCTGTTTCCCCACTCAAAACATGGAGATTCCTATCATTTTGAAGGAGAAAAGTGAAATTACAGAGTGTAAGATGTCATTTTCACACAGAGACAAAAATTATAGAGAACACATAGAAGATAAGATAAATTGTCAAAATATGTTTTTTTGTTGTACAACTGATTTACATTAATCTTCTGTTTTTCTTTATTTTGCAATCTTTATCATACCCTTTCTTCTTTGATGAAATGAAGAGAGAAGAAGGAGAAAGATGGGTAATTTTTCTGTAATCCATAGTTAAGATTAATAATTTTATAGACTATCTGATGTAGATAGATATATCAATACATGTTCTTTATCTGCACGTGACAAAGTGAATTGATTTGTGTTCTGCCTTAGTACAAAATCTGTGATATAAAGCAGCAGGGACAGTTTTTATCTTAATCTGAAGGGTTCATGTAGTCAAATTTTGTCAGAATCTCTGAAGAAAAATGTTTTACCTAAGAAAATTCACATTCAGATGAGTTAAGATCTCTATCAATCATAAACAGAAAGTGAAAAAAAAAATAAATAAAGACACTTCATGTTTAAATTTGCATTTTTGATCTGCTGTTTCCAAGCTGTATTCCCACACACACATTGTCTTCAATAAGTATGTAGAGTTTTATTTGTTACCTCCTTTATTGGGCCAGATAGAATGGCAAAGCTTCCAGTTACTAGGTTGATAAAATGCAGGGAGCTTTTGCTTGATAATACAAAGAGCTGCAGAGCCTTTTGTTGTTGCTTAAAAGTGCTGCTGGGGAAAAATTTGTCTAGCAGTTCTCAGAATTTCTCTTTTACTTGCAGTTTAAAAGGAAAAATTGTCTTATGTTTTTGCTGAATTCTTGCAATGTCATGTAACTGTAAACTGCATACCACATACTAGATAAAGTGACATTCCTCTCTCTCCAGTTATTTGATATTATATTAGCAACACAGTGGAGTACAAATGTTTCACAGTGTACTCATTATTTTTCATTTTAATTAGGTGAATTTAGCATTTATGAAAAGTATGTATTAACAATTGTCAAAATTTGAGACTTCTGTTAACCAAGTACGTCTAGGGAGAAGCTATAAACATTCATCCAGACTTGGAAAAGCTAACTCCCAATGTGAAAAGTGATCAGCTAAGTAATTAGCTAATTTTCCTGCTGTTCTTCAAAAATTAGTAAAAAATTTCCCCAGATGTGATAGGATTTTTGCTTATCTGTAGTTTTATGAACTGTCTGATCACTTTTCATATGTTCCTGTATAATTAAGAAGTTACTGTGGCTTTTAGTAACCTCAAAATGCACTTATGACTATTTGAACTAATAATCAATTACTTTAAACTACATTACCAGTTCTGTAGGCCTCTGATTAGTCAGATTAGTTTTCTTCAATATTGGAATCATTATTAGAAATTATGCATAGGAAAAAAAAAGGTTTAGGTATTGCAAAAGAAATTTGAAGATGACAATTTAATGAGAAAGAAATATATCTGCATTGTTTTTACAGAAGATTATAAGTTATGGTTGCAGGTATTTTTGTTTGCTTGTAAAATCAGTCCTAACCCTGATTTTGCTGCACTGAAAAATTTTGCATCTTCTCCTTGCAGATCAAGCAGCACTATAGCACGATACGTGGTAAACTTTGAGAGAGATGGCTCAGACACGAAGAGCACAGCAGATGACATCTCAACTATTGGATCTAATAAGGTGGAAAACGGGAACATTCCACTTTCTCCGAAGGACGAGATAGCAACATCTAAACTCACAGTGACAGACCTTCAGCAACTGGTTGCCATCGCACTCCATGAAGACCAGTCCCTGCCAATGGACCTTGGAACACTTCACTTTACTGATGGTCAGTAGGCAGGCCTGGTGCCAGGCACAAGTCTGAACCTTGCCCTTTCAAACTGATGCAGTTTCAGTAAGGTCTTCTTTGCATCTCTAACAGATTGTTTTCATTTGATATATCCCATTCTCCTAAGCACTGCATAGCATCTGAAGGATGCACAGATCTAAGTTAAATTTTGTAAATTTTGTAGCAAAATATGCCTTTATATTTTTACAGCCTGACTTCCAATCACACTGGAGAACCTATGTCTTGTTATTTTGTTCAGAAAAGCTTGATACTTTGCACACTAAGAAAAATAAGAGGAGAAAAAAATTACAACGAATAATCACTGTATCATTTTAATTTCCCAGTATGGATAGTCTCCCTTCTTCAATAAGACAAAAAGTGAGGGCTTCCTATAAGATAAATCTAGCTTTCTGAAAGCTAAATCTCTTTTGTGAGGAAGCCATCTAATCTCCCAGTGAAGTCAGAGAGACAGACACCCTAAAGAGCATTTGATCCCGAGCTAGAATCTGTGGTGTGAATTGCACTGTAGGTACATTTTGGTCTCTGAAACAGAGGGGGAGCACAGATAACAGGCTGGGTCTTCCAGCAGAAGATGGAAGAGCTGCATACTGTTCAGTAATGCAGCTAAGAAATATCCCCTCTTAGTCCAACAATGATTTCTTTTTGCAAAGCTAGCATAGCCCTAGTTTTGGGGAGGTGGGTTAAATATGGGGAAAATATTTTTTTAAAAGATGTAATATCTATATTTACCAAAACAATCTTAAAACACACACAGAATTCCAGCTGCATTGTTCATTTGCAAACAGCAGAAAATGTTTTTGGAGAATAAAAACATTTAGATGAATTTATACTTTCTGTAAGAGTAAATCTCATCTTTTAATGTAGATTAAAAGTCCCAAGGAAAAAACCTATGGATATACAACACTTTAATAATAACAACTAGTTTAATTGATGTATTTTTACTATTTTTAATAACCAGTCTTAGAAAAACAGCTTACATGCAAGGATGTTTAAAGAGGGGGTGAATGGAGCAACTGGGCACTAAAACCAAAACACTGACAGTAACAATGATGTGGACTCTGGATAAAGCTGATAAGAATTCAGGCTTAATGAACAACACAAGATAATGACTCATCATAGCCCATGCAGATTAAATGGAGCAGTTCACACACCATCTGATTTTGAGCATTCCTCCCTGGTACAGCTCTCTGCAGACCCATCCCCTTTATATTAAATAAAGAGCACATTCCTGTTTTCCTCGTAATTGCCAGTTTAAATGGAAATTTATGTCTCTTTCTTCTTAACATGGGTTTTTTTAAGTAATTTTTGGATGGAGAATAATTTTAATACATTTGTTTACTGAGCTGATGGGTTTTGATCAGTGTGCCACTGCTGAAATGTTGTACTCTCTCTCTTTTGTGGTGGTTTTTTTTTTTTCAGAATCTATTATACCATCTACTGAGTTTGATAATGACATCCAGGCCATGGTCACAATTCCTCTGGCAGGCCCTGGTTTGGTAAGTTAATAGCAGGTGTTTTATTTTCTTATTTACATATTTATCCATGAGAAAATAAATCAAAAAGTGCTAAGATGTACATAAATACACAGAAAAAGGCTCCTATGCTAAAATGTGTATCTGCCTTTTATAAATGCTTTAAGGATAAATGTTGTGGTGTTATACTGCAACAGAAGTACTGTTTAGAGCATTTACAGGTGAATATTACTGCTTGATTACCTTTTCCAGTTTTAATCACAAAGTAAACCATGTCTCAGTAGTACATCACTGTGACAGGAGGGCAACTGACAGGCAAGTGAAAGGCATCTTTCTTTGACCATTTTTTTAAATTACAGGCAATGTAATTAAGATCACATGCACATGCCAAATATTGTATGTATCCCATGACTTCATGCTGAGTTAGATGTTTGCAAGCCTCTGTGACTAAAGAATATTGCCCTTTTTAGCAATGAAAGTTAAACATAAGAAGAATGAGACTTTCTTTTAAAAAACTTTTCCAGGAGGACTCCATGAGCGTGGAACTCCCACTAGGTTACCCCAGCCCAGCAACAGTAGACCAAACAGAAGACCCCTTGGTCAGCGAATTTACAACTGGAATCCCTGTGCTAAGTGCCCCTGAAGACTTAAGCAATTTTGTCACATCTGAACCTGCATTCCCTACCAAACCCCCCAAAGATTCATTTCAGGACAAATCTCCTACAGGCACAGAAGGTATTGCTACTGAACATCAAAGTTTCACAGTGCCTTTCAGTGCTCTGGCGAGCACTAGCAGTGCTCCAAAACCAGAGGATTCATATTTGCCTCCTCCAGCAGATGATTCTGCTAGCAATGACTTAATCACTGATGGCTTTGAGTCTCCAGTGGAGCAGCCTACCACTCTGGCAGTTTATACCACAGGTAGCTCTACTCCACCTAATCTCCTGCCAGTCGAAGAGGAGAAGGAAGAACTGACTGATATAACAGAGCCACCTTTCAAAGAAGCTGACCAAGATATTCTGTCTGGACAAGGTAAGATACAAAAGATTTTTCCATAAGAGAGAGTAGTAATAACAGTTATTACACACACAACCACATATAAGTACAGTAAGTGTTCTATTAAGTTGTCACAACAATTCTTCTGGGCCATCAAAGGGAAAAGATTTACATTTCTGATGCCCATTTCAGGAAAATCCTAATGTACCTGACTTCAAGGTTGTCAAAAAAAACCCAACATCAACCCAACAACAATTGCCTAAGGATAAGGCACACTTTCTACAAGCTACTATACTAAAAATTCAAAAAGGCACAGAAAAACACATATCAGAAAAATAAATTTGGGTTGGAACTTGTCAATCTGCAAAGCAGAATGAACTGTCTAGATCTGTAAAAAAAAAAAAAAAAAAAAAGCTTCCCAAAATTAAGGTCTACTATCTCATTCCTCCTTGTTGAACACAAGTTATGTCTAAAACAAGCAATACAAGACTTTCATCATCAACTCTGCATCTGAAGAGGATAAAAAAGGATTGTTCCCTATCTAAAAAGAAGGGATGCTATGTTAGCAAAAACACAAAGCTGTAATTATTTGCTTCAAATCTTATAGTGTAAAAAATATACTGGATGTTTAATAGAAAAAAGATGCTGAAAATCTATTTAGTGAGCTTTTAAATGAGTAAATAGTGTATAGTCTTTAAAACTTTTTATCTGTTTATAGTTTTTCTAGAAGTTCTGTGTACAGCATTCCCTCTATTCTTATATTTCCCTGGATTTTGCATATTTCATAGGAACTGCATTTGCTCTGGAAATTCAGGACTTAATAACATTTATAACAGCTTTTATTGAAGTGAACAGTGTCAGTTTTATTCATTTTAATATGGCTAGCAGAATTTCTCACCAGCAGGTATAGAATTTTTCACACCTTGTACCTGGCTGTATTTCATAGCCACGTTTCTTAGTAATATTTTTTTCATTTATTTTTTTTAATCTTTTAGTTGTTGCTGGTGTGAAATGGCAGGAAATATTGAGGCAGTGCTGCATAGGTTTGGGCAGAAGGCTAGGCTTTAAATGCTTGCAATTTTGCTACATTAATTTCCAATTAATTCTCCATCCTACAGTCCAGATGATGGAGCAAATTTTCTTCAACACACGTTTAGAACTTTAAATTCACTCCTCTTTACCATGAAAAGAAGAGCTGTATAGCAGAAATAATGAAGTTTGAGATTCTTTTAGGTGTCCTCATCAGCTATACATTTCACAGATGGGCTTTATTGCATTGGCTATCACATGATTCCTGAGCATTGGATGTCTACAACATACACCAACTACTTTAATTGTGCCTACCTGAGGTCACTGAGCAAAGCAATAAAAAAATTCTTTCACAGCTCCCAGAAAGATACTTCAGACTCAGCCTCATACACACAGTTCACACACATCATGTAGGG